TTGACCGTTTATGACATTGACTGGCTGGCGGTGTGGTGCGTCGAGTACAGACACAACTTTGGACATGTCTTCATACCCAAAGACCTGGATGTGCCGCCTGCTTTGGGGCAGACGAAAATTACGGTAGGTGGCAAGTAGCCCAAATCAGCAATTGAATTTGAAACACACACATATACATACATATATGTATATCACACACATGCATATATATTTACATATGTTAGCCAATCGCACATTCGCACTAACACTAACACAGACCTGTATTTAATCATATGCTCGTTCCCACACAACTCATAATTGTATATCTCTTTAACCCATTCGCGCCGCATTAGCCATCATGGTGGTATTCACCCGTAAGTACTAGCCCTGGCCACACGCATGCTGCAAGTCCTTTTGGGGAGTCTCTTAATCATATTTCTCCTTTCTGCTGTTTTTAGACAACAACAACACCGCGGCCSGTCTACTCCAATTGTCGTGAGATTCTGCCGAATAAGCTGCAGGTTAAGTGGGAGCTCCAGGGCGAATACGTGCAGATCGAGCTATTCGGACGCATCAGCGAGGATCAGTATATGGCCTTCGGTTTGTCCGGCGCCAACGGGCGCCCCCAAATGGCCCAGTCTGACGTTGTGGTTGCTTTCTATGACTCGAACGCTCGAGTGTTCCGCGCTGAGGACTATTTTATYTCCGATTTATCCCAGTGCGACGGCCAACGTGGCGTCTGTCCGGATGAGCGACTTGGCGCACGCAACAACGTGGTTGTGGGTATGTAACCTTYCTTGATTCCCTTTGCRCAAGTTGACTTACATTTCGCATATGCAGTTAGTGGAGATCGCAAAGGCGGCGTCACCAGCATTCGCTACAAGCGCCTGCTGCAGACCAATGAAGCCATCTACGACATGCCCATACCCATCGATCGCGAGGTGTCGATCATTGCGGCCGTGGGACCACTCAATGCCCGCAAGGAGGCCAATGCCCACTCGCACACTGCCAGCGATCACAATCCCGACGACATTCGCATCAACTTCTCGAAACGGGTGAGCTGCAACTCAATTTACAACAAATTCAACTCTCTCTGATTCTCTGATTTACCTCTGCTTGAAGAACGATCACTCGTGCAAGAACTCGCTGTATGATATCAAGGACGAGAGCGGCCCCAAGCCGTGGCCTACGCTCAAGATCAAAGGGGAGCAGAGGTTCCGCGCTAGCATTGGAGCCACAGGGGGCAAGCGTGGATATACAGCGATTACGGGCATACCTTCATGGGGCATTGCCTGGTACATCAATGATCTGCTGATTCCCGAAATAACTGTGGAACGTGGCTTGACCTATGAGTTCATAATCGA